GCGTCTTGACTTCTGCCTTTGATATCAAATGCAGATACAGTCGCTCCTCTTTCTGCTGGGCATGAAGTCAGAGATCTTTTGCATAGAGGTTTGTTGCGGTTTTGAATGGCAAAGACATGAATGACAACCCAAGCGGCCAGCTTTGCAGTGGTGAAGGGAGTTTATTTCAGCAATAATGAATAGCTGTGGACTGGACACTATAATGTCAGTAATGAACAAGTGACACCATTTTCCTTGAGGCATTGGAGTGGGACGTACTTTCTTGACTTCATGCTCTTAATGACTTCTTTGATTTGGTTCCTGTGTTCTCAAGATGTTGCAGTTCTGTGGATCAAACACAGAATATTTGTGATATAGAATCATAGAATCATTTAGGTTGGAAAAGACCTTTAAGATCATAGAGTCCAACTGTAATACCACTCTCATCAAAGGATTTATATTCTTCTTGATATCAGATGCAACACAACGGTATTGAAGGCAGATCTGGCATAGTCTGGCATCGTTCTGATGTCAGTGACCCCGCTGCTAAGACTGGGATAGGTTTGTCCTTAAGGGTGACTAATGTGTGGATGGAGAAGTGGCCCAAGCTGAATATTAGCAAGAGGACATGGGGAGAACTGCAGATCATTCACCTTCACAACTGCAGACTCTTTCACAGCTTCTAAGTTCAGGTGTAATTCAGGGAGCTCTCTGCACGCCCTGCATTTTCCCTAAATAGCTTATTTCTACTCATAGGTTAACGGTTGGACTTTATAATCTTAAGGGTCTTTTCCAATCTAAATGATTCAATGATTCTGTGATTCTATACAGGAGACTTGTTCTAGCAGATGAATGACCTGGCCTTTGTTTCTTGCCCTACCACTGAGAGATTACAGTACAGAGCTGCTAAATTGCAGGCATCAGGTCCAGCAAACACCTACTCCTGATCAGTTACAGGTGCCACGACCACATCAAACCTACTTCAGCACTGATTTGAAGTTCAGAAAGGGCTGCTTCTACCTTCAGAGTTTGACACACAGTGTCTGAGAGAGCGTGAAGAGTGCCGATGACAGCTGCGTTCCCGTGGCACAGCCAAGGTCTACAACTGAAGGGAAAATCATCACCCACGCAGGCTGCAAGTTCTGAGAGCTGGTAGGAGACTGTTGAGTGAATAAAGAGCCTTGTAAACCTTATTACCTTCAGTGCAGAGATAATTTTCAGGAGAAAGCCAAAAAAGTTAATATGTAAATCTCTCAAAACTCTTCAAGTTGTACCAGCATGTTATATTTCACCATTCCTTCCTTAAGGAAAGGAGAATAAATAGAATAGGTATGGCTTGTGTTGAATTACCATGGAGAAGAAAGTGCTCAGTGTGGCAGTGACCTTAGAAGAAGACCTCACACAGAACAGAGTTGTCACTTGGCTGCCTGGTGTCCTGTGGAAGCTGAGACCTTAGCGTTCCTTCTTTTGAGCCCACCGCTCTCTGAGGATATGAAAAGGAGAGCAAGATGAAGAGAGTGCTGCCCTACCAGGGGGCTCAGCCAGTTATGTGGAAGCGGGACAGTTTTCTCCGCTGTGTGCAACTTTGCCTCGGTCCTCCCTGGTAAGGAAAGGAGCCAAGCAAGACTGTGAAAGACCTATCCCTGACACACTTCGTGGGGAGAGATGAAGTCACCAGGGGAGAAGGGAGATGATGTGAGAATGTATGTTGCCCACACATCCTTCCCACGCACTCCCCATACCTACTTGCACTCTCCTGGGTGTGCGCATGGAGGGTAGGCAGCACAGGGATGCTGCCAGCTCTTGCACGAGTGCTTGACTTAGATTTTGCTTGCTCTCCTCGGTGCCGTATATTCTTACCCCAAGGACAGCCCTCCAGGAGAAAGGCACAGCCTGATGCTATTGACTGCATGCTTAAGAAAGCAGGGAAACGTTCCAGTTCTTCCCCAGAAGATCCGGTGGCATGTATCAATCTCTAGGATACAAGCCTCTGCTTTTTCAAGGCCTCCATATCTTAGTCTGTTCGTTACTCATACTCAGCCTATTCATACTCATTAGTGGAAGCTCCGTGTGCCTGTCGTTAGTGCTGCATACCTCCAGGGTATGTCAGGACTAGCCAGGATAGGCAAGGATGATCCTGGTTCTTCAATGTTACTGAAGGGAAAAATAACAATTTTGGGCCTTTCATATTATCCTGCAATTAGGTAAGTGACCTAAGATCATAGAAAATAGGGCTAAATCATGGACAAATCCTAGAAAATAAGGCTAAAGGGGACCTTGGGAATGCACCTAATTCATCTTCTCTTTGAGGTTGCCTCTGCCTCTATCTTCTCTTTGCAGATGCTTCTTTAGGCTGTTCCGCTCCAGTGATGGGATTCTCCTCCTTTCCATAGGCATTCTGCTTCCATTCCTTGTTTTCCTGATGCCTAATTTGAATTTTTATACTGTAGTTAAAGCCAGTACTTCTTTGTCCTAAAACTGAATATTTACTTTTCTTCATATCTACCCTTTAAATATACAAAATGTAACATCAGGAGGGTTATGTGGCTCCCTAGTCCTTCTAGACTAAAACCATATTTCCTCTGAGTCACATTTTCTGGATTTTTGATCTCTTGTTCTTCCCTGAACTGACTCACTGCCATTTGCATCCCACTTGAACTGCAGTGCCCCAAACTGAATGTGATGTTCAGATAAGTAGAAATCCATTGGGGTTTTTTGTCTTACAGTTTTCCTGTTCCTGGGCCCCTTCCTTAGAAAAACATGAACTCCTAGATCTTTTTTTTTAACACTAGTGGCAAATAAGTTTTTTGTTCCTTCATTATACAACTATTTCCACCTAAATGTGGAATTTTGCGTTTGTTCTCACTAAATTAGTGCCTTTTCCCCCAGACCACTCCTCCCATTTGTAACACTGTGGGTTCCTGCACTCTGAAATTGTATACTGCCTGCAGATTTAGTACCCTCATCATACTCCTTCATTCCAGTCACAGTTGAAACCATCTGGTAGTCCTGGCACAGAACGGACTTCTTTGGAGAACCCTTTGGATCTCCCTTTTGAGAAGGGGCCTCTGGTTACTCAGAGCAGTTTTACAGATGGTTTCACAGCCACTTGTTTCATCTAGTCCAGGGGAAAACTTCTGAAATTTCATTCTTTATCAGTTGTGATTATGAAAGGTGGCATCTTCTAATGTTAAGATTTCAGGTAAGCTGCATATCTCCCTTTATCATGTTAGCATTGCTGTAAACGGATCTTTTAAATGCTCCAGTTTAAGTGCATCTTTGACGTGTCCTCTGAAGCGAGTCTCTGGACATATTGTGACTTTCTGAGCTGACTGGGATCTCGTCTGAGTTCTGTCCTTGGCTAGTGAGGAGACTTGGTGGGCAGTAGACTCTGCCAGCCTGTAGAATATGCCACTCCATTTGCAAGGGCTACTTAAAAAATAATATATATTAATGTTACAAGAATACAGTTTTACCTTGAAAAACTAAGGTGGGCCTTTATGATGCTTATGAATTGCTTTTTCCCCTACTGATACAGTTGGAAGTGGGAGAGCATGAGATGGCGATGAAGAGGAAGAAATGAATGGACTTCAAAACCCATTGTGATGAAAGCACATACATGTAAAAGACTTAATAGCCACCCTGTACGGGCTGGTGCTAATTAGAGACCACGTTGCCTTTAATCTTGTAAAAATAAAAGTAAACATCAAAAACAGTCTAGCAGGACTGTATATGGGTGCAGGCTGGCTGGCAGTGGAAGGTGGGTGACCCTGTGGGACTCCCGCCTGAACACCCAGGGTCAGCCCAGCCAGCTCGGGTCCCCGTTCAACGTTCTCTGCTGCCTGTGTTGTCCCAAAAGTGGGATCGTATACCTGCTGTGCAACAGGCCAATATACACACAGAGTAGAGGTGTTTTGTTTTATTTCCAGCATATTTGCACAGATAAGGGTGCTAGGTGGTATTCCACAAAGCTAGCATGCCACACAAAGGAATCACCACATGTTTATCCCATTACATGATTAGCAAAAACCATAGAGAACCTTCCCAAGTTTACGTTCATTGGCTAGTAATTACCACATCGACTTTTGGAATTGCTGGGTTTTAAAGGAAAATAAATGGTGCGTGCTCCTAGAGAGAGTGGGGGGTCCATTTGCGTAGTCCCTTGGTTGAGTCGGTGGTCAGGATCTCCCCATGTCACCTTTACCTTCGCCCCAGTTACCGTGGATTCCGCTCATCTCATGGCAGTGACATTTTCCAAGAGTGCAGGAACAACCTCGTTTTTATGGTTTACTGCTTAAGTACAGCTACTTCTTCATCTTCTTGACCACTAAGTACGGGTTCATTAACCTTTTTTTAATTGTCTTGTCTCCTACTGACCTGCCCTCCAGAGTCTTTCATTTGTCTTAGACATCACCTTAGACATAAGTCCAAAGGTGGTGCAGAAAGAGGAACTCGCGCACTGATGCTTGTGTTTGTCCCATGGAAGGTGTGTGCTGCTTGTGGTGTTGAACTGGGACAGAAGCTGGCTGGGTAGTGTTCAGTGATTTCCATCATTCAAGCATGTTGCTACAGGCTTTAGAGGACTTGATTCACCGTAGTTTAAATATTATGGAGTAATCCATGCTGCTTGTAGATGTTGAGACTGGAAAAGCCATATCCGACAATCAGGGCAATTAATTGCATTGCTTGTTCTGTCCTTCATGAAGGTTGGTTTTGTTATCATCGAAGTCTGAGGAGAAGGGGCATGTGGAACTGGTTCTGATACATAGCAAAGGACAGTTGAACTCGACTGGCGAGTAACACGTCGATCCTGTAACAGATGTCATTGCAGTGTGCTGCGAGGAGGAACGTCTTGTGTGCCACTGGTCGTTTCTGTTCTAACCTTTAATTCCTGTTAAGAACCAAACCTCATTCAGATGGCTGGGGTGGACTGACTTTTCGATGTTTGCATGAGGAAACAGTTGTGTCTGTGTAGGTTTTTTTTCTTTCTGAGTGAAACTCGGTTTAATTTGTCCTCTTAGGAACCTTATTACGTCCGTTGCATTAAGCCCAACGATAAGAAATCACCACAGCTTTTTGACGAGGAGCGTTGCAGGCATCAAGTTGAATACCTTGGCCTTTTGGAGAACGTGAGAGTCCGCCGAGCAGGCTTTGCCTACCGCCAAACATACGAGAAGTTTCTTCACAGGTAAGAAGGGTTCTGGCAAGTGACTCAGGTTTTTGCGGGACAACTGGGACGTTGGAACGAGGTGTGCGATTTGGCTGTCTCCCCTTAAGTGAAGAATAAGTCTTAAGTCCTCTGGGCTTGTATCCTCACTGTTGAGCATATGGGTGGTGGTGTGCTTGGTTTAATATCTGCTGTTGGGTATGATAAAACATGAGCCTAAGAGGAGCTCTGCTCTCATTTTGTGGCGGCAGATGTGTTTAGAGGTGCATGTGTGGCACTCGAGCTTAACTTCTTTTCTGTTAAAATTCATTTGCTGCAGTACTCTCTGCAGCAGGAACATGTAATGAGGTTCTTCCCCAGAGCATAACCCTAGAATCAGAGCTAATTAACTTCTGTTCTGTCCCTGAACATTGTCTGATTGTTGCAACGAGAGAGCCAGACAGACATTGTGTGTCTTGGGAAGTGCTCGATGGCGCATAGTGACATTATGCGTGTGCAGGAGGAAACCTCTCGACTTAAAACTGGAAGTCTGAAATTCAAAGGGTAGTAACATGACCCCATTAAAACGTGGTTTTGATACTTCTTGCCCTCTTAATTCCTACCAGACTTGTGACAAAAGAAATGTTTTAGATTGATATTTGTCTTCAGTAAATTAGCACGGGTACTAAGAATTTAACCTCTTGTTGATGAAATAGTGAATTGATTTTTACTTCTGTTATTGAATCAGGTGAGAAAAAGGCTGTGAGGGTAGAAAAAAATTAAACTATTCAAGCAGGTGGGATGTCATGCGTTAGAAAAGAAGCGCTACTGAAAGACCTTTTGCTGTTCACGGTGGAGATTTGCCTGGATATTTCGTGATACCTGAAGTGGAACGAAAGGGTCTGGCTTACTAAATACAGCCCACAGTGCTGTGTCTCAGTTTTCTTAAGCATTATGCAGTGGTTAGAGCGTGCTTTCGCCCTCACATGTGGAATTCATTAAAATTTATTCTTAAGATTTGTGTAATTACTATTAATATAAACAGCTGCTTTGTTTTTAATGAATGTTTGATGAGCTCCTGTAAGCTTAAGACCAGAAGTGGTGTTTACAGCCAGTAAACCAAATTAGCACATGGCAACTGGTACAGCTTTCTGGCTATTGTACCATTTGTTCTGCTGGACCCTGGAGGAGGATTAAGCATCTACAGTGTAAGGTATCAGACACTGCATTTGCATATTGCGGTATTGCTCCCAGTCCAGTCTACATGGGCTTCTCTAAATTAAAAAAAAAAAAAAAAAGTCTTCTGGCCTGGATATTGTGGTTTGGTTTGGGTTGGGTTTTGTGTTTGTTTTTTTTTTTCCCTGAAATTCTTTGTTCCTTGTTTTTGTGTGAGACATACCCTCTTACAGGGACCGGGGGATATGATTTGTGGTACAAGCCGCACATTTTTTTTTAACAGGGATCACGAGGGATTTCTGTTCCTTTATATTTTACAGGCTTATTGGGAGACTGCAAACATGGAGGAGAATCCAGGCCCCTCAGCTCTGACTCTTGCACTGCATGTGGGCCATGTTTTAAGATAGATCTAGAGTAATTCAGTGAGAGGTGATTCTGGGATGTAACTTTGTCATGTTTGCTTACATTTGCAAAAGACATCATAGAAGTTCAGTCCCACAAACAGATGTTTAACTCTCTCACAGGCCCCTGAAGCTTTCAGATTTTCCGAGCCCCAAACAGTTACTGTTTTGCTGATTCCTCTTGGAGGGGACAGGAGATATATATCAGGATGTATATAGATAAGAGATACATACATACATGTATGTGTGTGTGTTTAAAAAAAAGTAAGTGCATGTATACATATTTTTAATGTATATTTATCTATATGTATATATAAAAGCATATTAAAAATTACTTTCTGTTCTGTAGGAAAAGAGTTTGTTGCTATTGAGCCCTAAAACACTGTAAGGTAGTTGATATATCTACCAGTAGGAAATGAAGTGAAGCACAGTTAAGACCATTAATAAACATCCTTTTCAAGCTTTCCTTGAAAGGAAGAAAACTTTTATTTGAATTACATGCAAACCAGCCTGTCCTTCGCAATTTGTAGAAAGTAAGATCAAAAATATCTTTTTTGTTGGACCAAGAGATGTTGTGCGTTCACTTGGTAACTACATCTTCCAGTTGGGTGAAATGCACGTCAGGACCATGTATCTTAAATAGCTGCGATGCATTCTTTTGCTTTAACATATAACTTACTATCAAAAAAAGAAAAGCTGATTGGATTTCAGAAAGGGGCAGGGGGAAGCTCGGCGCCTGTGAGGCATCTGCAGGGATGGCCGCCTGCGAGCGTAATCCAACACTTTCACCATGAAGGCATCCACGTGCCTGTTTCCAGGCAATGTTAAACATAGCACGTAAAGGACGCCCAGATAGCTGCGAACTGCACGGCGGTAAGCGAAGGGTATGATCCAGCTTCATGCGCAGACCCGGTAGTTTTCATTAAGGCTTCATAATTTAGTGGCTCGCAAAAACCTTCGTTCTTAGGGGAACTCTAGTGGGAATTGTACACTCTAGTAGCAACCTCTGCATGCCAGGTGTGGAGAAGAAGAAGGAGAAACAAAGGTGGTGTAGAAATGGATGTTTAATGTATAAGTGCCCTTGAAAGCTGTCAAGATCTCAGGGCAGGAGAGGGGAAGGGTTGCGCTGTCAGTGAGCAGATTTATTTTGGGTTCTGCCTCGCTATAATTAGCAGTGAGGTTGGGATTTTGACTTGCTGTGGCATCCAGGTCATGCTCTCTGCTACGGGGAAGGAGTTCGTGGCATTGCACCACACGTGCCATGGGGGGAACAAAAGGGACAAAAGGACGGCCACGATATTCCACCGCCGGCCCCACCACCTGTGGGCTAGGAGGGAGGTGGTCCGTTTGCCCCAGGATGTCTTTAAATACCGTAGTCCTGTTCTTGCTGTAGAGGAAGAGAATTTAACATTTCTTTTAGGCAGGTTTTCAGTTCTCTGACATCTTATCCCTTTTTTTCTGGCCCGGTTGGCAGAGCAGGCGTGCTCAATCATGCGTGGGTTTGCACTGCCACTCTGCTTGTCTTTTTTTTCCCCTCCTAATGTAAATGTCTCAGGGTGGAAGATTTTCCCAGTGAATTAATTACTGCAGGAACATTTTCCTGATGAGAATAGGAAAGAGAAACCAGCGTAAAATATTTATGTCCTGTGTGTACATGTATTTGAGAGAAGGAATGCTTTTGCCAGCCGAGTATAAATGCCAAGTCTTCTGTTTTGAGTCTGAGGAGGGTTTTTTTTAAGATGCCTGTTTTATCAGGAAGCTCCCTAGCCAGCGTGCTGTAACCCTCACATGCTGACGGTGTTCCTCGCCTAGACAGTGTGCACCTCCATTTTTTCCCCCTCTTCGGCAGCTTATGCAGAAAGGCTCATGTGATGAATGAAAGCGGCGGTGTGATGTGTTTCCATTCAGTTTGGTAACTCTTGCAGTGCAGCCACTCCCCAGTAAAAAGGCTTATTGCTGCGTCCATGTAATCGTAGCTGAAAATTCTGAATGTCTAAAATATTGAGACTGATGCTTGACTTGGATTGTGGGCTTTTAAATAGAGAAGTGGTTAAGATTGCTGCATGCTTGTTTTATTTGGAACACGAATGCGGGTACTATTACAGTGAAAATGTCTATTACATTTTTGATTATGTCCATAAATCTTACGCAGAAAATTCATTGTTGCTTTTTGCAAATGTGTATTCACCTAATCAGCACTTTGCAAGGCTAGTAAATCTTACAGAGAGCTGAATCTGAGGCAGCTACTTTTGTGTTTGATTTGTAATTGTCTTAGTTCCAATCTGCTAGTGTAAGAAGGAGTTTGAGGAGTAAGGATGGGAGGGAATCATTGAACAACTATTATAGGCAGTAGTGGTGTTTGCACAAACTGTGGCAGTCAACTATCTGCTACTTTGGTAAATAATAGCATTTGTTAGAAGTGGCTACCAAAATGATGAACGAGAAAAACTATTCACAGAATTTTTAAATCTAGGTTTTCCAACAAAACAATTTATTACAGTTGGCATCTTACGCAGAATGTGAGCAAGCCAAAGCTTTTCTTCCTTGGAAAAAAATTAAATTGAAATTGAATGCTGAGAGGGTGAATAACGGAACTGCCAAATCTGCAGGAAGACAATGGTGAGGTCTGTCACGTTACCTCAGTTAGGTGTTGGTGAAGTGAGCGCCTCACAACTTTTTTTTTTTTCAACATCTCTCAAAATCATGCCTTTCTTATATTTATTTTCCTTGGATTTTGAGGGTCACGATTCCTGCAGAGGATGTCTTGAGGCTCTTCTATCTATAATCAGTTTTATTTGAATTTATATCACAATTATTTCTTAAACAAGCTGAAGGTTGGCCTTTTTGAGAACCTAGATGACAAGTTTACATTTGTAAATTGTACCTTGTAATTCCAGGTACAAGATGATCTCGGAATTCACTTGGCCAAACCATGACCTCCCTTCAGACAAAGATGCTGTGAAGAAGCTCATAGAGTGTCATGGATTTCAGCACGATGTTGCTTATGGCAAGACCAAGATTTTCATCCGCACACCTCGAACTCTGTTCACCTTGGAGGAACTGCATGCCAAGATGCTTGTGAGGATTGTGCTCTTCCTACAGAAGGTAAAGCTTAGTTTACTGCATTAAAAACTCAGTTCAAGTTTCTTAAACACCTTTGCTCCCTTTTCAGGCTCACTTGCAAAAGTGACAAGTCTGCACAAATTCTGGAATACTGCAGTTTGATTACTGCTTAATTTTTTTAAAGCTCTTTCAGTAGTACTCTTTCTAGCTGCATTAAAGTCTTGATGTGGTGTGATGTACCGTGAGCTGTAGGACTTATAAGATTATTGGACACTTTTTAAAAAACTTGCTCTTTACTCAATGAAAGTAGGCTACCTAGAAACTTAGAGGAACTTTTATGGATGAATGTGTAAGAGTCATGCACAATGGATGTTGAGACAGGTGTAAGTGCATAAAAGTTTATTAGTGGATCCGTAGCTGATGGCATGCATTGACTTAACAGTAAAACTATCGAGGGTGCAGGGAAAAGAATGAGAGGGGAAGAGAGAGTCAGAAAAAGAGACAGGGAAAACTTTCCCCAGAGGCCAGCTAGGAAGAGAATGGGCAGGATCCCTAAATGAGCATCCTCCCAGAACATCCTTTCTGGTGCAGCACGCTATCTCCCTCATCATACTCTGCCATTAATAATTACTGAGTTTTTATCAGGACCTGAGCAAAATCTCTATTTTTTTTTTTTTCTTACGATACTGTTAGTGCTGACTGGAGCATACAAGGACAGGGGGCAGATGCTCGTGCAAATTTGCTTATTAAGCTTTCAGCATCCCTATTACTGAGTCCCCTAATGTAAATACAGCCGAGGGATAAAGAAAGAAGAGGTGATTTGCACTCTCGTGGCAATCACTTCCCGTAAGAACCTGCCATACCATGCAATACTGGGGTTTGCGGGTGCAAGCCTAGAAGAGGTACAACACGGGAGCAAGGAAAAACGCCGCTGCAGAGGCTCTGGAAAACACTACCGCAGCAGCTTGGGTGAAAGGGTGACAGAGGGAAAGGCAGTCTACGGAACAGAAAATAGAAGGCACTTAGCATTGCAAAGGGTGAAACACTTAAGGCACTGTGCAACAGGACCTGCGCACTTGTCTTTCCTCTCTGAACATGGGATTTGAGCTCAAGATCTTTCTGGTTTTACCCTTAGGATAAATTCTACATTCTGTGACTTCAGGGCAAACACATTCTCAGACCTTGCTTACGAAGGTACTCTTCTAAGCCACGGGAGTTTGTTGTGACTTGGCTAGCTCCTAAATCATTTAGGTGCTTTGAGGGCCTCAGTGACACAATGGAAGGTGGTTTTGTAACCTCAAAAGCAAACGTGCACCGGAAGTGAAAAAATACAAGAGCTGGTTTTAGTACTTGCTGAAAACTCTGTTCTGCATGAGTGTAATCTGTGTAGCAAAGAGCAACAATTCTGACTTGCACAGCCGCAGAGATGGTGGAACTGACTCTGTCCTAACTGACAGGGATTGTTGACTAGTTCAAGATTTTTAGAAGTGTATTTCTTAAGATGCGTTTTGCCTTTGTCATTCTTGGAACTTGGGAAACAACAGAACTTCTGAAACCCTTTTTGCCCATCAGAAATAGAAACTGCTGACAGATGGGTATAAAAACTTCACAGAGAAAAAGCCTGCTCTAAAGCTATGCAGTTAACCTAAGTTTGCACAAACTTTCTAAACCTGATGAACTGAATCACTTCTGGTGAAGAGTAAGACCCTGAAGGAAAAGTTATACACTGCAAGCTTGAATAGTTCTGCGGAACACTCAAATTTCTTGTGTTTACAATGCATTTGATCCGATTCCCTTTCTCGAAAGCAAAGCAATTTGACCACTACAGAAGGCGAAAGTATCAAGTCCAGGGTTGCATCCCTGTTGGTATTTATTGTGCCAGATTGCATGGTTTATCTTTAGTAAGGAATTTTGTAAGTTTTGTGTGTGTCTATATATATATATATGTATGTGTGATTAGTTTTTCTGGAAATGCAATGCTCAGGCTGCTTAAAGGATGCAGGACCTGCCTGTTTCTGAGCTTTGTGGTTCAGTGATTTCTTTCCCTTTTCTTAGCATTCTGCTTGCCCTGCTGATGAACTTCACAGCAGCTTTCTTGGACTACATGTCATCTTCTTCCAGGTCTCTTCCCTGGAAAAGGCAGCATACTTTTCCAAAAGCATATTCTGGCTTATTCTTTTGGAGTGGAATGGGGCTAATCTATGTATGAGAGGGCTCATACACCTCTTAACGTTTTTCTGGATTATTAGTTGCACTTGCACTGTGCTTGCTCTGGTTTCGCGGGAGGAGTTCCCCTGTCTGCAGCCACTTTTCTAAGCATGTTGGTCTTATTTGGTGCATTCGGTGAGTTCGCTGGGTCATGCCGTTAATCTGGAGTCTCTCTTTCTTCCCAGAGTGGTATGAGGCAGGGTAATGGGTTCCTTGTTGAATAAAGCTGCAGGGGTGACACCTTGTTCCCAGGTGACCTGAGTTTTCATATTAAATGTCTGAGGAATTGAGAGGTGACCTTTTTTGAAGTTGAAAGGTACAGTTACTGAAGAATAATTCAAAAGACCCAGTCTGTCTGTGCTGTGGAAACAGATGATGTCTCACTGCGAGTTGAGCGGTGAAGCTCCTCCTTCGGATAAAATCCACCGAACAGCGTGAGGCACAATTTTGACAGCAACATGTCAGTTTTTGTGAGTTTACTGGCCTTTCCTTTAGATGGAAACTTCAGAATTAGATAGTCTGTGCTGTGATCTGGATTGGGCTCAACAATCTTGGAGGAGAGCGGGGCTAAAGATTTTTTGCCTCTAGAAGGTAAGTACCTGGTTAGGAAGAATGGATCGACTCTCTGGCTCTGTGAGGGTTTTTGCTATAGTGGTTTTGTGTGGCATCAGGCATGCTGGATATATAGAATAACTGTAGTGCTTTTGGGGCTTCTCTTGTTGCAACAATCAGCAAAAGTGACAAAAGTCAAATTCCCGGTGCACATTGTCCTATGGCTTCACTAACCTCCCTCCTCTATTTTCTCCTCTCCCTGGAGTGGAGAGGGACTAACAGAAGTCTACATGGAGGTGTCTTTCTCTTCGGCATGAAGCATCGAAACAGGACACGTGGAGTCATCTTCTTGTTGTTTCTCTCTGAGAAATCTCTAGTGAGATTCTAATTTACCTAATAAAAGATTTGTGGGGAAAAGACAAGCTCCTTCTCAAGTGCTCAAGGTATTGAAAGACTTTGAAGAAAACTGAATGGCCAGAGCTCCTTTTCTGATGCTTATCCCTGCTGAGGTTCACCTGTATCTCTGTTTATACTTCCTGGATGTTCTTCCACCAAGCTCTAAACTGCTTGTAAAGTGATGGACTTGAGAGTCCTGGAATTTGCAACTAAAGACACGAAACACTAATGCCTCTAAATGCGTACTAAATGGCTCGTCAACAAAAGAGCAGGTGTTGGGTTGATGTCTATAGGTATGTAATTAAATACCTTGTGCAGTGTTAAATCTATCTGGAAAATGCTTGAATTTTTCTTCCATTTTCTGTATTTCTCTTGCTTTACGGTTAGATCTGATGCTGTGCTCTGTATCTGATCACTCCTGCGTTCGTGCAGCAGCCGTGTTCTGTTGCCAGTAGATGGGGCAGTTGGAGACGGGCAGTGCTGAAAAAGGGACGATCAACACAATAAAAAATAAAATCAGAGTAAGGATCTGAAGAGGCCTTCTCTATGCCCTGAAAACATCAAGGCAATTTTGCCTGTATCTTAATTTCTGTTTTCAACTTGCGTTCAATTGTTGATTAAAAACTTGCACAAAAATTTAATTCTTGCTCCTTTTTCCTTACTTTTTAGTTTTGCCTGTAAGCGTCAAAGGCTGAGTAAGGCAAACTGTGATACTTCTGAGAGTCACAAGTTTACATCTAAAAGGAAAGAGGAGAGATTAACTTGATTTTTTTTTTTTTTAATAATTGAGCCTTCTGTTGCATTGGAGTTTCTCAAATTTTAATTTAGGAAAAGGAGAAGACAACTGGAGAGAAAATGTTGTGATAATAAGCACTTGTGCGATTAAAAACTGAGGGGAAATGTAAGATGTAGTCTTAAAAGCAGCTGATCACAGGCTGGGTCCAATAACTTTTCTTTTTTTTGCACAGGAATGATTTTAAATGAAAGAAGAATCTGCATTTAGTAGTTCTGTTTCTTGGTAGTTTTGAATGTACATCTTCATTTCTAATGATATATAATATATATATTTTGTGTTTTATTGCTCTCATGCAAATCATAAGACTTTCCAAAAGAGATTCGGCAGTTATCTTAAGAGCCTCATTGTGTGAGTAACCCTTAACCCTTAAAATAATGCTTGTTCTTTTTTTTAATGACAATAAGAATTTGCTTCTTAGGAGTTTGGTTAAATTGAATTAAGACTGACTTCCAAAGTCACTTTGCTTTCTTTTGCTCCACGTCTCCTGAATGTCTTCTCCTTTAGCTTTATCTTCAACCTCCTTTTTCTTCTGTGATAAAATGTTAGTGGGGTTCCAGGCTGTGCTTTTCCTTCAGGCCAAACCAAGGCAGTAAGCAGATGTGATGTGATTTAACCGTGGCAACTTGCTGGCTCCAGGAGGATTTAGCAAGTGAGAGCCGTGTCCAGTATTAGAAAACCCATATGGCACTGGAGACATTGCTGTCGGAGTCAACTCCAACGGTCATTTTAGAAGCACCAGCTGAGAACATCACTTCTTTTTATCTGGTGCGTTTGAGTTTGTTTACTGTACCTCGGGTCTTGCCGTCTATATGATTGTCTTCATGAATGCAAGTGGAGCAGCTCTAATGTTAATAATAAAACTAAAAAATAATATTTTAAAAGCCTGCCATAAAACTCCCTTGCTTTTTCTGCCCTTGGAAGCGTTCACACATATTCATTAGCTTTGCAGAGTAGTGCTTTGTTCAAGAAAAAAAGCTGCGCCAGCCAGCACGTGCGGTATGCGAAGATGATGTATCTTGTCAATATAATTTAGTGCGCTATTTCGGTGTAATTTTATCAGACCAGTACAGCTGCATACGGTAATCGCTTC